GTTGATCCGTTGTTCAAAACCTCACAAACCTGTGTTTCTGTGGAGCGGTCATTGGAGCCGAAACGTTGTATTTGTTGATTTACCAAAATGATAACATGATGTCTGTGACAGTATTTTACGGGATTAAGAAACTTTTTTAGAGCAGAAATGTTGGCCACACGCTGTCACACACAAATACAAATATGCACACATACACTCTCACACTTACAAATAAGCAACAACGGAAAAAGAGGGGTGGGGCCGAGTAAAAATATAGGGATAGGGAGCCGAGTGGTCTCGAGGCATGACTTCCGCTTCAAGGGCTGAAGGTCCCGGTTTTATATCTCGGCGGAGGCTGAGATTTTTTCACGTGGACTTCCATTGATTGCCCCTGGTCTCTGGGCAGTGAAATCGGACGCCATTGTGTATTGTTTTGCACGTAAAAAATCCTTTGACATTTAAAAATCTAAAATAGTGGCCTACAGGCGCTGCCTTTAGAATTAAAAATCTACCCGGAGTAGTTTAGGATTCTCACCGGGTCTAGTGAGTTCATGCAGTGCGCTAAAATTCTTTAAACTCAGGATTAAGTTAGAAGAAGAAGAGAGACTTATGGGTTACTTCACTTGTGCCATGATCTGTTGTTCAAACCAAACACGTAGGTATGTGCTTTACTGGGGGGGGGGGGGGGGGGGGGGGGGGAATCGTTCATGTTCAACAAGCATCCCCGAGGAGAAGCTTTAGGTTATTATTATGACTTTATTATGTGCGCAATATAAAATGGCCTAGCATTGCTGCCAACAAGAGCCCTGAAAAAGACTTCTGCAGTGTTGATGCGATCAAAGGAGACAGACCCGGATACTGTCCCGCGAGCCAATGGTCGAGGCAATGGGCGACCCGGTGGCTGATGATTTAGAATAGAGTCGCGTAGCGTAAGAATTTATACTAAAGAAGAAAGAAATAAAATATATAAATCTTATTCTTCCTTTTGTTTTCTTCTTCTTCTTCTTCTTCTTCTTCTTCTGCACTTCTTCTTCTTCTTCTTCTTCTTCTTCTTCTTCTTCTTCTTCTTCTTCTTCTCTTTTCTTCTTTTTTCTTCTTCTTCTTCTTCTTCTATCTTCTTCTTCTTCTTCTTCTTCTTCTTCTTTCTTCTTCTTCTTCTTTCTTCTTCTTCTTCTTCTTCTTCTTCTTCTTTTTCTTCTCTTCTGCTTATTTTTTCTCTTCTTCTTTTCTTCTTCTTAGTCTTCTTCTTCTTCTTCTTCTTCTTCTTCTTTTTCTTCCTCCTCGTGCTATTTAAAACCAGTTTTGTAAATAGTCATCTTCGTATTTTTTCATTTAGTTACCTCATAGAGCTGCCCGGCTCTCTAGCGTGGTTGGATAAACCGGATTGCACTGTGACCGGGTGACGAACTCCTTGTGTTCCGGGTTCACTACCGGGGGTAGGCAGAAAAAAAAGACACATTTCTCGCAAATTTACGATATTTACAATAAAATCAAGGCAGAAAGGTTGCGAAAGCCATAATACCGAGCCTTAGGGTTAACAATTCAAGGCTTCTGGATACTGAAAGAAAGAAACCTCGTGGAGCTGATTTGGAAGATTAAGGGTACTCGGGTGGGACTTTCTGGTCCAGTTTGTTTATCTTCAAAGTTTTTTTTTTTAAAGTTCTATTTAATCTACGCTTGCTAATGCAGTTTCCACAAGTGGTCGGAAGTCTACGATTTCGCTGCATGAGCTATTGAGTTTAGTGTTTAATGCAGCACTGTGAGTTTTGGTGTTCACGTGGAATGAACGCCTTTCATTTGTGCAGAGGTTGAGTCGTTTTATTAAATATGGCCGGTAGCCGGTTTGCATGTGAGCTAGTAAAATACCCTATGTAATAATTATTAGTGTGTGTAGCCAGCTTGTAATAAGACCTAACGGCCTCTTAAAACTAATACTGCAGGGCTCAGTAAAGAGAAAGAGGATAAGAGGCAGACCAAGACAAACCTGGTTACAGAAGCGGATTGACTGGACAGGGTTCAGGCATGCACGCATGAAGTCCATCGCAACTGACCACCAAAGATAGAGAGAGAGAGAGAGAGAGAGAGAGAGAGAGAGAGAGAGAGAGAGAGAGAGAGAGAGAGAGAGAGAGAGAGAGAGAGAGAGCACTGATCAGACTGTCAACAAAAAGTGGTGACCCAACAACACGTTGTTTTACGGAATGATGATGATGATGATAGCCAGCTTATAGTGTCCAACTATTTCCATTGACGAGAAACTGCATTTGTAGAGGCGATTTTTAGCTTTTGGCGTCCCTAGCAAATGCCATGCGCATATTTCTAAATAGGACCGGGCCTAATTGTTTGTTCGCCAGTTTTTCAAATGGAACAGTCAGGAACATTTAATTTAATTTTCACTGACACAGGAACGGACCAAGTATGAAGAAACCCGATAATATTGAAGTTGAAAGCTCGATTAAGACTAAGGTTAAGACTGGGACTGTAAAGGGTTGGTTGTGTACTTCATAATTGGCTTGCGTGTATTTGCTTGCTACAGGTATACTAATGTCAGTTTCAAAGTTCAGACTGGCTGGCTTTTTGACATCTTTTAGGAAATCATGGCTTTCCATATTGTGGTTTCTAAACCAGTGGTCTCCGACTTTTTTTTTTTTTTTAAGGGGGAGCGTAGTCTCGAGGCATGGTCTCCGCCTCGAGTGCTAGAGGCTTTGGGTTTAATCCCCGGTAAAGGCTGGGAATTTTTTCTCGTGGACTTAGATTTCTAGTAATTCCCCCTGGTCTCTGGGTAGTGAGATCAGACACCAAAAAATCCCTTGGCAGTTGGAAATCTAAGATAGTAGCCTAGCAGCGCTGCCTGTGAAGAATTTGGAATTAGAAATCTCCCCAAAAGTATTTCAGGATCCTCGCCAGTGCTACAGAGCGTGTGCGCTGTGCTGAGATTTCTTCAGACTCAGACTTGAATTAGAAGAAGAACTGAGCACATGAGTTACAACCCGTGTGCCATGACGTTGATCCTTTGTTTAAACCTCAACCTGTTTTCAGGTCTCCCCCTGCCCATTTTAAGCATTAGACCCCTGCGTCCCTTTAAATGTATAGCAAGATTACCACGTCCCCCTTGAGTATATTGCAACGCCCTCCTACCCCGTTAAGTATATGGCAAGCCTCCTACCTCCTCTCTCCTCTCCCAGCACCTGCATAACAAATGTGATTGAAAACTGGATAATAGATTCCGCAACAAAGGAAACAGAAAGTATGAAACAAGTTTTGGTAAGAATGTGTTCTTGATCTATAATTAAATGCATGTGTTATTATATTAATTTTTGACTGCATGTGTAGAAAAGAGTGTGCTGAAATGTTACATAGAACCTGTTCTGCTGTATGGCAGCGAATCTTGGAATGACAGTGAACAAGCTAAGAAGAATTTGGAAGCAAAAGAGATGTGGTTTCTGAGAGAAATGTTACGAATACCTTGCGAGGCCTTAGCAACTAAAAACGATTGCTTGAAAGAGGCTAATGAAAGTAGATCTCTATAAACAACAATAAGAAAGAGACAAACACTGTTCTATGGCCACATACTGAGAAGATAGACATTGGAAAAAGGGGTAGAGGCAGATCAAGAGAGATGATGCTGAGTGGGCTGAAACGATGGCATGGAGGGATATCATCAAGAGAGCTGTTTCATGCAACCAGGGATCGTGATCTGTGGAGACACATGAGCGCCTACGCCAGTTGGCAGGGTACATGATGATGATGATACGTACAAACTGCTCATGGACAAAAATACGTCCTTGGCTTTTTATTTTATAAATAGCTTTTAAAATATTTTTTTTTCATAATTAAAAGAAAACAAAATGTTTTATAACGGATTATGACATGTAGAAATGCACTGAGTTCGAAAACTGCTTTACACCCCGCTTGAAACCTTCTGACGTCTACCAGGTTGAAGACCACGGTTCTAAACAAATATGACGTTAAATAACCTTTACAATGAAGTTGGAATGCTTTGCAGTTTAACAGAGAAAAATCAACTCATATTCTGATGAATTAGAAATTGTTTAATAAAAGGCAGATGTTGAAACATGTATATTACGATCGCCATGTTCTCAGCAGTACAGTTTCACAGCTGTATACACGCAAACACTGCAACATTGTCGTGTTCCGAGAAGGTTTACAACACAAATGTTTCAGCTAAATACAAAAAAGGAAACCAAAAACTAACCATTTGTTCCTAGACTTCTTATGCCTCCACTCTCAGTATTACAGCTTTCAACATACTCATTCCTTTTTTATCCGTTTCTCTTCTTACTTTTCCTACACTATTTATATTCTCATCTTCTCTATCTTTTTCTATATCTGTTCAAGTTCTTCTTCTTCTTGTTTTTTCCCCTTTCTCCTCCTCCTAATCCTCTTTTCTCTCTTCTCTCTACTCCTACACTACCGACTTGTCTCCTCTTTTCTTTTGATTTTATCTATCTGTTCATCTACTTCTTCTTGTAAATACTCTTTATCTTCTTGTTCTATAGTATTCTCTTTCTGCACTACCTGCTCTTCCACCACCACCACTTCTTCTTCTTCTTCTTCTTCTTCTTCTTCTTCTTCTTCTTCTTCTTCTTCTTCTTCTTCTTCTTCTTCTTCTTCTTCTTCTTCTTCTTCTTCTTCTTCTTCTTCGTCTTCATAATCCGCATCATCATCGTCATCACCATCTTGTAGTCTTCTCTCCATTTCCTCCCCTTCATCATCATCATTTTGGTTAAGATCCCTTACTAACAGGAAATCGTTAATTCAATCTCTTCTTTTCCGATGAGGTGAACTTAACAGAAGTAAACACACACTTAGGTTTAAATAAGTTCAACATATATTCTATATGACAAGAGCAGCAAAACTACAATTTCAGATTCAAAGAATTAATAAAATGTTTGTTTGTGACAGATACCAAGTGGAACACCATACTGTCTGTGACAGATACCAGCGAGAACATCATACTGTCTGTGACAGATACCAGTTAGAAAACCATACTGTCGTGACAGATAACAGTGAGAACACTATACTGTCTGTGACAAACAACAGTGAGAACACCATACTGTCGGTGACAGATAACAGTGAGAACACCATACTGTCTGTGACAGATACCAGTGAGAACACCATATTGACTGTGTCAGATACCAGAGAGAACACCATGCTCTTTGTGACAGATACTAATTGGAACACCATACTGTCTGTGACAGATACCAGTGAGAACACCATACTGTCTGTGACAGATACCAGTGAGAACACTATACTGTCTGTGACAGATAACAGTGAGAAAACCATACTGTCTGTGACAGATAACACTGAGAACACCATAATGTCTGTGACAGATACCAGTGAGAGCACGATTCTGTCTGTGACAGATATCAGTGAGAACACCATACTGTCTGTGACAGATAACAGTGAGAAAACCATACTGTCTGTGACAGATACCAGTGAGAACACCATACTGTCTAACATATATCAGTGAAGAAAACAACATACTGTCTGTGACAGATACCAGTGAGAACACCTTACTGTCTGTAACAGATACCAGTGAGAACATCATACCCTCTGACAGATACCAGTGAGAACACCATACTGTCTGTAACAGATACCAATGAGAACACCATACTGTCAGTGACAGATACCAGTGAGAACACCATACTGTCTGTGACAGATACCAGTGAGAACACCATACTGTCTGTAACAGATACCAGTGAGAACACCATAATGTCAGTGACAGATACCAGTGAGAACATCATACTGTCTGTAACAGATACCAGCGAGAACACCATACTGTCTGTGACAGATAACAGTGAGAACACCATACTGTCTTACAGATACCAGTGGGAACACCATACTGTCTGTGACAGATACTAGTGAGAACACCATACTGTCTGTGACAGATACCAGTGAGAACACGATTCTGTCTGTGACAAATATCAGTGAGAACACCATACTGTCTGTGACAGATAACAGTGAGAAAACCATACTGTCTGTGACAGATACCAGTGATAACACCATACTGTCTAACAGATATCAGTGAAGAAAACAACATACTGTCTGTGACAGATACCAGTGAGAACACCTTACTGTCTGTAACAGATACCAGTGAGAACATCATACCCTCTGACAGATACCAGTGAGAACACCATACTGTCTGTAACAGATACCAATGAGAACACCATACTGTCAGTGACAGATACCAGTGAGAACACCATACTGTCTGTGACAGATACCAGTGAGAACACCATACTGTCTGTAACAGATACCAATGAGAACACCATACTGTCAGTGACAGATACCAGTGAGAAAACCCATCGAGAACCACATACTGTCTGTGACAGATACCAGTTGAGACACACCATACTGTCTGTAACAGATATACAGTGAGAACACCATAATGTCAGTGACAGATACCAGTGAGAACATCATACTGTCTGTAACAGATACCAGCGAGAACACCATACTGTCTGTGACAGATAACAGTGAGAACACCATACTGTCTTACAGATACCAGTGGGAACACCATACTGTCTGTGACAGATACTAGTGAGAACACCATACTGTCTGTGACAGATACCAGTAAGAACACGATTCTGTCTGTGACAAATATCAGTGAGAACACCATACTGTCTGTGACAGATAACAGTGAGAAAACCATACTGTCTGTGACAGATACCAGTGATAAACACCATACTGTCTGTAACAGATAACAGTGAAAGACCACCTGTCTGTGGACAGATATCAGTACATGTCTGTGACAGATATACAGTGAGAACACCATTACTGTCTGTGACAGATACCAGTGGACTCATAACACTATACATAACCTCTGACAGATACCAGTGAGGAACACCATACTGTCTGTAAAAGATACCAGTGAGGACCCCATACTGTCAGTGACAGATACCAGTGAGAACACCATACTGTTTGTGACAGATACCAATTGAAACACCATACTGGCTGTGACAGATACCAGTTGGAATACCATACTGTCTCTGAGATTACCAATCAAACCATGGTTAGTTGTTTGGTACTAAAACTGTTAAAGCACTGACACAAGAATCCATATATGGTATTATCTTTAAGCATATTGTACATGTACACTATAAACATTTTACACTTGTACCCTTAATTAACTCTGGCACAGACCAAGCAATATGTATAGAACGTGTACTACCTGATGTGCTACCCACATGTTTGTATGTGGGAGGTGAAATTGTAGGAAACGTATTTTCAAGACAGTTTCAACATGTTCTACGTATTTGCATTAATGATGTATCTTTACTGTCAACTCTGCCATTCTATTTCATTGACGTAGAAGAATGCTGACAACAGCAATCATCACCAATCAAGAGGTTCTTTATAGAACGTTGCTGTCGTTGTGTCTGAACGTCTCTCTTTCTCTAGCCAGTTATCCAGCCCTGTGCACTTTTATCTTCAATGTCTTATAATACCTTCGTGGGGGTTAGCCTGTGTCTCGCTTTTCGGAAACGATTATCATCAAGTGTTTTG